GTTCTTTCGACGTCTGATTTCTTTTTAAAAAATGCGTTTCTGAAGTACATAAACTTTTGGGATTGACTGTATAGCCAATATATCCTTAAAATCAAACACGAGAATCTGACGTCTGCAATTATCAACGAACGTCAGGCGCGGGCTTTTAGACTGCTGGTTAATTAAGCTATCAGAGATTCGAATATCTCATGTTCCTACTTACCGTCGACAGCGAAGACTTCGACCTCGCAGAGACTCAAGCTTCCCTCGACTCCGACTAATTGCAAGTACACGTACTGACCTATCAAAGCTCTGGCACATACGAACGTCTTCGTGATCCCTTCCTCTACAAGAGTCAAATTCATCAGAAACAAAATTACATATTGTAGTTTCCGAAAAGGAAACGAAATTCTACATTTCATATGAAAAATGTTTCTTATCTTAATTCTCATTTATTTTTCCATACGAGATATGAGAAATATTTGTAATTTCGTTGAAACTTTCTATTTCACATAAAAATCCGCTTACCAATGGTACCGGGAAACCAGGCGCACAAGGGATTGCGTTGTAACTCGACGCTGCTGTTACCCACACGTATTTCAATATCCTGAAGGGGTTGGTGGCCTGTCGGGACCAATAAATCGCTTCTAATCTCAGTTCGATCAAGAAATACAGAAAAGAGTTGTAACAAAATTACCGCAACAGCCCCTCGTCGTGACTCTGACGACTTTCACGGAATATGATTTGAGTAAATCGACCTTCCACCACGGACTAGGCTCGCTTTGAGTTTCCGTGCACCTTTTCCCATCGTGCTCGGTGCCCGAATCGCCGTCGTTTCCATGGCTGGCGTCTCCTCCTCGCACGGTCGTCGACTGATTCGTCGGCTTGCGAAACGCGACGTTCGTGCCTAACGCGAAATCGAAATCACCACTTAGATAATAATATATATGAAATAATAATAAAATAGTAAGTAGACGTGTAAAATGATATCAGAACCTGCGGTAGGTCGAAGAGAGAGAACGGAAAGTAAATCGGAGTAGCGAACAATGTCGAGGAAAGGTGCCGCTAAGTATGAACGGGTAACAAAACGTCAATTACCGGACAGGATGCGTTTAGCAATAAAGAGAGGCGATTACCCGTCGCTAGTTTCGCCAAGAATCTAAATGCGTTTAACTCTTCCTCATCTCTTTTCCGCATTCTACTCCGAAGTAATTTCCACGGGAATTATCGATTAGCCACATGTTTCACGGGACTGTCGCCGAATAATTTTCGATTACGACACATGTCGTCCGCCGACTTTCTTTCTATGGAGTTTACCGATAAAAGTGAAACTGCCAGTGAAAAGGAGGCGTCGGGTCCTAAGGCGTACGAAAAATCGCTTTCTATACGAAGAGAGCAGCGATTCCTGTTGCATCTTAAGAAGAAAGAGTAAAATTTCTTCGATCCCGATTTTTTTCTTTCGCGAAACCGTCTCGATGCGCGTCCAGGAGAAAGTCTTGTTGTCAAGGAACGCGCGTAATCGAACGTGATAGCGATTACAAAATGTGTAATAAAATTTCGTGGCCGCATATAATAACTTTCGCTTCGGGGATTATCTACTTTCTTCCTCTGGCGGTCTTATTATCGGATAAAACCAGCTAACGATGAACCGATGAAATTATTATATAAAATCAATAAATACAGGGAGAGCAATTATTTTTGATAGACGACACTTACCGCAAAATGGGAAGTCCCCTTGCCATTTCCCTTTGGCGTTGCACGTCAGACTACCACTGCTGAGTAAGCAACAAATGGATAGAGTTAGTCCGAATCTCTTGATACGATGAGAAATGAAACAACGCGAGCAAATATCGTCGTCGACCGTACAAATTATAGGAGAAAGTTCGTAATAAGTTTTGCTATCGAAGTGCGTTACAAACGACCGTCTCGCTCGGTTGCAACTCGAGAACATTCGTCGTGTGTCGCGAACAAAGCAAGAAACGCATAGAACTACCTATTTTTGCTTTCAATTTTATTTCACTTACTTTTCCTTTCTTGCAAGGTGCATAGAATTACAAGCGTCAATCGAAATTAATAAATTGACCGATATATCACAGATTTGCAGTTGTAGGAGATACGAAAATAACAGTAGAAATGTATGAAGCATCGATGCAGTTTATATTTCAACGAAGGTATTTCATTGGACGTTATGCTACTTGAATACGCTATACGAATTTTCTTTTGCACGATTAATTATACTCACCCGAACAATTCGTATCCGGCATCGCAAGTGTAAGTGGCCAAAGTGCCGGTTGCTAAGGATTCGTCGGACAATGACACCTTGGCGTTCATCGGTACAGCCGGATGGCCGCAATTCAATCCTGCATTCAAGAAAATTACGTAGAGACGCCTTCGAGACAGCGTTCCATCGCTGACTTAGACTATTCGATCTCCCGCTGCCGTTCTAATACCGAGTTTAGACAATTTCAATTACAGAGAACCGTAATTTCCAACACAGAAACTAATGATCAGTTCTCAGCAAAAAATGTAGAACTTTCACAGTTGAAACTTTTCTATACTAAGAAAGTTATAATGATGACAAAACTAAATTTATTTAGGATCGTACGTAGCCTAAATTTTAAATCAATTATTGTATTAAACGTTGTATCAATCATTCTATTGATCAATTGTATCGAATTACTATATGATTTAATTCGTCAGTCATTATATAAGCGATTGTATGACGGTGTATGACGCAAATGGCCTAAATTCGAGTTTTCTACAGGTCTTTTTGTAAGTCTGTCTATGAAGAGAGAGGCTCCGTTCACGTATCAGTCGTTAACCCGGGTAGAGGTGTCAAGGACGCGGATGCCGTTCCATATAACACTCGGTTTTACGAGGCATTCGTCCATACCTCGCTTTCAAAGTAAATTAAACAATAGCTGCGACACCAAGCGAAGAGAAACCTTGGTCACGATCCCACGCTTACACCATTATTCGAGTTGTACAAGTTGTCGGGAAATTGTGCGAATGATTTTCTATCGTCCGCAAAAGGGGTTCGAAATTAGTGGGTCGAGCCATGAACTATCGACGAGACCGTGCGCAGCTTGAGAAACTTTTTCTCCTAGTGAAAAGACGATGGAAATCGACTCGATACAGCACGTGCGGTTTATAATTTGCCGGGAGAGTAGAAACTGCTGAACCTAGTTAAAACCGCAGGAATATCTTCTCCTTTCATGTCTCGACGGATATCTTTATTAGCATGAATATATCAAGTGCAAGGATTGTTCAGTTATACAATTAAAGCAATACGAATCATTTGATTAACCGATGAGTCAGTGCGTGTTCATAATCTGATCTGCGATCGGAACAGAAATAGAGGAACAGAAAAATGAAAATAAACGTGAAACATCGTGAAACTACGTACGATAAAATCGACATGGAGCGCAACTCGCGGAATAAGTTTCCGGCGATGTTCTCAAGGCCAATCGAAGTTAAGATGGCCTTACGATTTTCGAGAGGATCTTGCCGATCTCGCCTTCGCGTCAATTCTTTTCATCAAATAACATCAAATCTGAATATCTCCCGGAAGTGGAGAATTAGAATAATGATTGTTATTCAAGCAGCTAAAATTCCATTTAGAAAATATTACAATTTGCTGTATTTGAAGAGGCATTATAATTGTAGTTATAGAAGACACCTCAGACAATCATTTTCATTTACTTTCGTAATTTTATCGAAACGTCGCGAGACTAAGAATGCCTGCAAAGCGTTAATGATAATGGGTCGGATCGCGATTAGAATTCGAATCGTGTCCGGGGGCGATCGCACGGTGAAAGCCAAAGCTTGTCGTCTGGTTTACGCGACTCGAACTCTCCGGAAGGCGGTGTTGTTTCTCATGAGACACCGAGTTACCGTTTCGTGCGAACGAGTTAATTAAAAGCGAATACAAACGCGTCGTTCGCGCGTGCAGCGGTACGCGCGATTATTCGATACTGAACCTCCTCCAAACCACGTCAAACAGCTTCCTTCGTTCCTCACTTTCTATGCAATTAAAATCATTTCACCATGACTGACTAAATTTCTCAATTAGATGACTTTAAACTCGACCGAGGTTTCTTCCCTCGATTAGCTTTCAATCATTTAATGAGGCATTCAAATGTTTGCCTGTCACTGGTGAAACGGTTTTGTTCAATAAAGTCTGATGATAGCAGATGAGAAAGCGAAATAAGTAAATAATAAGAATTATTGTCATTCTATCTTCATTTACTATTATTTTATTTTAAGTACATGTTTGCTAAGATATTAGCACACTATAATGTAAAATACTTCACTGGATGAAAAGAACCAGAACAGGTTCTCTTTTAGTTAATTAACAGGGAAAGAATTTGTGGAATTGATAATCACGATTGCTTATGTACTCAATATAGACGGAACGAACGGGTTGAATCCAGATCCGAAGGAATCTGGAGGAGGTCAGGTATTTCCCGGTTAATTGTCTGCGTGCGTGTACGTGTAGATACGACAGGAGGACGCGGTGCTAGCTTTAGCCTGGTCTTTGGCATTCGCTGATCGCCTCATGGGTCTGGGTCACGCGGTTACAAAACTTTTAAGCCGAAATAACGGTACGAGCACGGTGGAGCTACTTCGAATCGGGCCGTACTATCGGTGAACCATGTCGCAATACAGTTCCTCCTTTATTTTTCATCTGAATATGCAACCGTTTCGTAAAAAGAGCTTGAACAAAATTCCTAACTGTACACCTGGATCATTGAAATCCGTGCGATACTTATTCCACGCAGAAACGATTGACAAGGAAGTTGGAAAGTGGGCGTGCCTGTTTCTGATCTATCTTGCAAAAAATATCTCAAGGATAGCGATTGAGGCGTTATTGGAAAACGAATTCATTTCCGTTTTAATCATTAATCGACGCCTTGAAGGAGTCAATACGCGTGTTTGTAAAAAGTGATATTGAAAGGTGGATTCGGTTCTGCTCCACTGAAACGATTGATTATCAACTGTGACACTTTAAACAGACGGATCTGTTAAAAAAAGCAAAAGTGCGTGCTCGTAACGCATATTACGTGTTATCGCGTTTACATAAACGTATCGAGAGCGAATTTTACAACCGTCGTGGCGAGTACCGGTAGGAATACACCGAGGAACCGGTTAACATCGTAAGAATGAGAATCATCCTCCGTATAGTGGCAGATGGTCAGCCTGGCCCAGAATTTGTGCCTCTCGAAACCTCCAATGAGTAGCTATTATCGTAGGAAGGCATCTATCTCGTGAAGAGAACGGGGAATAGTTTCTTTCGCGAGTTTCCTAATCCATTGTGAACCACGTGGCGCATACACCTTCCTTCATGAATCTTAAGACATTACTATATGCATAAATTCTTTGCACTTAGCAAATCGCCTATGAAATTATTATATACAATACTTTGAAACTATTCATGATTCACTGCATGAATTGTTATTGATTTAGTTACAATTTTTTTTAAGATAATCTTTTATGGAAAATCTGTCAATTATTTTAATAAATGACCACTTGTTCTTCCTGTTTTCTGCAATCGTTTTTTTTTTGGTAGCAGACGCTTGTTTCCTATTTGATGATGAGATAATTTGAGTGAAAACTTTCTTGTCGCGGCCGAGGAACAGTAGAGCAATTTCTAGACGCGAGTAGCCGAGAGAGCGTTCCAGCAAAGTTGATTCCGGCGATTGTGTAATTGGCGTACTACACGATAGAAACGAATCGCGTACCGCGTGTCGACGACCAAAAATACGCGCACGATCCGTCGTGCATGTTGATCACGAGACAGAGAGGAAGTGGACGCCTGAAATTTCACCTGCAGCATGGGGTGCCCCACCCAGTCGTACAACGCTGTGTGTAATGTACCGCCGGGTAAATGTTACGACGGTCTCACCTCTGGATGGAAACGTGCTTCCTCTTTCCAGAGAGAAGGAAAGAAAAGCGTTCACCTAGAATCTCGAGGACGCTTTTACTTCCCCACTGTAAAGCTCCGACACGCTGCATTGGCTCGCGAATCAAACTATTACCTTACTCTACTGGAATTGGATCAAACAGGCTGCGGCCGTGCGAACTGGACACTCCTATTTACGTCCAGCAATTTACAATCAATTAAGGGAAATTTTATTGAAGTAGATCCAGTTTTTAATCAGATTTCTACTATAGATTTGCGCTCGGCAAGGATAGCACTCTTTGGTGAATAAAATAATCATTACGAACGACAGTCTGCACCTTGAAAATGCAGGAAAAGTAACAAGGAAATAGAAGAGAAAATGTGCTGGAGTTATGTCAAAATCAAGTATGATAATTATAGTCGACGGAGGTGTTGCTTTCGAGCTGCAATTATCCTTCTATCGGAGACACGTCCTTCCTACGCGTTTTTGCTTGTACGAATGAAAGTTCAGGCAAGCGTTAACCGGCACGAAAAAGTCGGTTCGTGGTTTTCGCGTCGATGACGTAAAACGTTAGTAGATCTGTTGTTAACGCGTTCGAGTACAGAGCTAAATCGAAAGTGTCTTGCTAGTTTCGAACGGTGAAGAAATTGAACGAAATATCGAACCAGGATTTCTATATTATTAAAAATTATCGCTGCGCAAGTTAATGCACGCGGGCCAGAGATGATTATCAAGGTGTTCCATGTAGGTCAACTAAGAGAATGAGAGTTACAAAAGGCAAAACTCGCTTCGATTGACTGCTTCCATAGCCAGTTTTGCTTCCTACGTTGCCCGACCAGTTTTATTCAAACTTAACGGAACAAAATAAACTCGGTGGAAATCGGTCGAAAGTGCAAATGCAAGTCCACCCCATTTCCTGCCGGGTCGACCGCTTTCGGGAACCGCAGCTGCCTCTTTTCAAGGCAAACCGCGGTGGACACTCTATTTTTATTAACCATCCTTGGGTCGGATAAAAACGCGTCCTCGGGGGGAAAAAAGGAATTAAAGGTACTGGATGGAATTCGCAAGGTTTACGCGAAAACAAGCGTCGTGGCGATAGGAACCTGTGCGTTTTATTTGAAGCGGATACACCGGGTGACCTCGAGACACCAGAAAATCCGCATGGACAAGGATCGAGTGGGCGGTACCTGTTTTCTGCGCTTATATCCCAGGGACGCGACAGATAAACCGAACGATTTCAAATTTCACTCGATTTTTCTTTTCGGTTCAATGAACCGATCATCCGGTGGTAAACAGTAATCTTAATATCGTCATTAGAAGACATAAAAGTTTCTAAATAGAATCCTATTATTTCATTACAAGTCGTTTATGGTATGGTACTCTGTTAAATTCCTCGGATTATTTCGATTTCGAGAAAAGATACGTGCCTTCTGCGCCCACAACGAGAATCCCCAAAAGGGATAGGAGAACCTCTCGCGTCATCCTTGTTTCTCTCTTCAGGATGAAATGCGGGATCACATTGAAAGCGCACTAACTTTGGTCACGATCATCCACGGAGCGCGTTTTCGCTACCGAAGAACACTTTGCACTACGGGAACTTTCACAAGAAGGTTTCTTTGTTCGACGCGTTGCACCGAAACTTGTTTCGTTAACGAAATATTCTTTCGAGCCCGAGTACAACCGAGATCGAATTCGCAAAGTTCAAAGGTGACTCGATCGCGTCCCTTCACAACTTCTCAGTGACCGTATGCGGTAGATCCATCCCGTTAAATTCATTTATCGCTGATAAATACGTTCACCATTTCGTTATTCGCACTGTACGAAATTGATCACCATGTTTCATGCCTAATTCGCTGGCTCATGACTTCCAGCTTCTGTCGCGTTGCCCATACGGGCCGGGAAACCGTCTCTCTGACGATCGTATCAGAATCGTACAGCTTAGATATCACTACTTTATAAATTTATTTGTCCGATACACTTTTTAACGAAAGTCAGACGCGGTTTATTGGCGGCATTTTCGTTTGGCCGAGTATCGACCGAGTGTAACGATCCGTTCCCTTCACTAGCCGTCCGTCGAGTGCCAGAGGCTTCCAGTCTCTTGTACTCCTTCGACATTATGAAAGTACTGCGTGTACCATGCAGTCGGGGGAATCTATGCCCCGGCCACGTTCTTCTTAAGTTTTCGCCTCGCGATAACAACTATTTGCCAGTATCTCTATAGAACGCTTCTATGCAAAACTTAGAACTATGTATAGAGTTCCTTTCTATTTGCACCTCTGCTCGACTTTTCTAAATCCGATTGTGACTTTGTTATTCGTGAACTTTGAGCTTTGAGCTAATCTAGCATATTGAATAGAATCTAGCAGCTGCTTGTACCTCTGCTAGACTTTTGTAAATGGAAATGTCGTTTCATAAACTTTGATCCTGAAGAAGTTTACGTAAAAGTGAGCTAATCAACGAAATTATTACGCGAGCTGGAATGAAGATTGCACGACTTCGTACAGTCCTTTCTGTCCAGTTCGTTGACGATAAGATCGGGTAGATTGCTGGTTTGACCGCGACGCGTTTTTACCTCACTATATTTGTGCGTACCCGTAACGTGTCCAAGGTAAAGCAACAACTTTTACTCGCGTACGTTTGCAGCCGCGCGTTGCTAGTATTTAGGAATAATTGCTTCCTTGTACAGTTCCAGCTGTCATAATGTAAATAGGTGCGAACCTCCTTCAACGTTTCCTTAAAGTCGAGTCAAGCTATTGGCAAGATTCGTCGAGACCTAAGTTAATTATTCTCATCCTAGTGGCCTCGTTCATTTTGCAATACGTTTATACATAAGTCTGTGTGACGAATTAGCGAGGTGAACCTGAAACGTCCAATTTAAATGGTCATCTGTCTAGAATGATTGCTCGTTTGGGAATAAAGAGGCAGCTGTCAGGTACTACTATGTATGCATTTTTTTTCGCACATTAAGAAACGCCCCATTGTGACACCGCAAAAGGGTATCGGGGTGGTAATAAGGAAAAAAAAGGGGATCGAAAAAACAGTACTACTATAAAATTACACCGAGTTTACCGTTAAAACCCCTCCCGTCTGTCTCTCTTACCACATCGGCTTCCCCACCTGGGTCACCGGTGTCCCTCGCTCTCGATCGCGTTTCCACTCCTTTCAACCTCTCTCGCCTGTCCTTCTCTCAACCTTTTATCCTTTTCTTTTCTTTTTATCAATGCTCTGCGTCACTACGCACCTCGAGCCCCTTTCACCTCGGCTCTTCCTTCAATTTTTTTAAGACGCGTTTAAAGAAGTTCAACAAACTTTGTGTATCAGCTACAAAATTTGATTAACTTCGAATATATTAAATCTTGTGAAAGCGAGAATGTTTCTAGAGAAGAATGTGCATATCATTTCCATAAAAGTATAATTTTATCGTCGATTATACTTTCTCGCTGGTCATTTAGCATACATAAATATTATTAACATTTTTTTAAATGGGTATTTTGCAGCGCGAGTTGCGAATTACTCGCTCCGCTGACTACTTTATAGATTTGAGAGTTTGTCGGGTTCTTCGGGCTCTTCGTACCGAAAGAGTACAAATGGCGGCATCTGTTCTAGATCTATCGTATTAAACGTCCTCCCGAAAGATACAACTACAGATGAACGTATATAAAGGATTCATTTCGGTTTTTGCATCGTCTCGAATTCTAGTGCCGTGGAATGCACCGAATGCACGAGGCGCGTTGCAACAATACCGGTTGCTCGGGTTGCTCTGCCTCGCCAGCGATGCGAACTCTGTGATTTCCATTCCCTCTACTAATCTAGCATTCAGGATTACAACGAACAACAAGGAAAGATGTAAGTGGCCCGTCCGTGTTATGATATGTATTTATCTCGAGGCCTCGCGCATTTTCTAATAAAATTATTATGATCCAATGATTACCACGTTTAATTTATTATTATCCTGTTTTACTCGTTCGGCATCAATCGCTGTATTTATCGTTTAAGCCCCAGTCATATGAAACTGAGATCGTGTTTTGTTTCGTTAATAGGTGACTGAACTTACTACAGATCTCAGACCTAAAATAATGTAAATATGGCAGAGGGTGGAACGGAACCAAAGTCCGGTGACAATCAAGCATCTAAGCTTCAGTTAGACGTGAACGAGTGTCTTGGTAATTGGCTAGTGTACTTACAGGTTCGTGCATTTGGGATAACATTGTTGTTGGTGGGTACAGAAGCAAATTACCTTTTTTAATACAGACCCTCAATGGCCTATGCACAGCTGGCACGAAGTTGGCCCAGTCGTTGCAGATACTTCTGTCTGCACATGACTCGCTGGCCCAATGCCGGTTGACCGGACAGTGCCTCGTTGGCTGGGAAGAGCTGACAAGGGCGACGTACATAGCTAGCAACACTGTGAAGAATCATATAATCTCGGCTCTGAGAGATCACGAGACCAGGGAGAATGAAAGAGAGAAACATGTATGTACGAATAAGAAAGTTGACCAACATCTTCCTATACTAAATCACATTATTTCCAGGACATACTTAGAGATAATCTATTAACGTTCATAAACTTACAATATCAATTCTGCGTTGCCTGCTGCGAATGCTTAGGTAAGTATATGCATTTTGTATTTTCTTATTCGACAGATATGAAATTATGCTTTCTGTTAGGTGGAATGGCAGAATGTTCTTGTTCCCAAAGTGGCACTGCCGAATGCGATATCGCCTCTCTACAACAATGCTTCGAAAGATTATATACTTCTCCGCCACCGGTATCGACGTCGTCGACGCAACAGTCGGTGCAAAATTGTCATAGATCCCCATTACCCTATCCTTTATTTCCTCTGCAGGTATAATTTTTCGTATCTATTTTCTAACATTCTTCGTACAACGTTTCATGAAGTATTCTCGATAAAAGGTCCAGAGGAGATGGTCCGAAACCGCGGCTGCAGAAATATCGGGCGAAGCGTCGGAGAATACGATGAGAAGGTGGTCCATGCCTTGGGACTGCAGGAACATCACTGACTGGCCGCGACAAGATGTTAGACCGCGATTAAGTGTTCCTCATCAAGACAGAAGTAGATCTACCACGCCAGACACGATATGGAAAACGTCCACAATGGCTAGTCAGGATGGCTTGCAGGAGGCGATTCAATTGTTGTCTTGCAAACCAGGTACGTACGCAAGATTCATTCATTGTGCGATACTTGTCACACATCGATTTATCTTTACAGGCGTCAGGCCTCTGAATCAGTTGTCCACGTATACTAATCAGCATATTCCGGGTGTTACTTTGACGACGTGCAATTTCGAGTCGAGTTACGATTCGAGCATCTGGCCGGGATCTCGTAAAGTTGGTTCGTCGAGGTGCTGGCCGCACGAGTCTCATTCGAGCGATCACTCCGAGCAGTCAGGACGCCGGGAGAGTGATCAGAGCGTGCACAGTGGGGAGCACAGAGATTCGGGTAAGATATATTAAAATATATTGATTTATTTCGTTTCTCCGTTACGTCAATCGTTGAACATTGTGCAGAGCAAAGTGGAACCAGCGGTAGCCACGGGGACAGCAAAGACAGCATTCATTCGCACAGTGATCATAGGGAAGTTGAGCTTGGTGAGTGTATAGGTACGTTAACCGCGATTGATAAGACGAGCCGTGGGTAAAAATTCGATTTCTTGCCAGGCACTGTAGATACATTGCCGTCGCGTAAGAGCAGCTCGTCGACGGACTCTTGCATATCAGCCCATAGTCGTTCAGGTTCCGAGAGCGCCGGTGGCGGGGTAATTATAGTTGAAATAATTAACTGCGTCGGACGGCGGACGCGCGCTCGCGGAGACGATTGTCAAATATTTATTTAATCGAAAATTTCAGGAATGCGCGAGATCTCAGCTGTATTCGATGTGGAGCGGCAGCGACTTGCCCTTTATCAAATTGCCAGAGAGCAACGAGACGCAAGACGAACATTCGCCGGTGTAAAATACTTGGTAACGGCGTTGCACACGAGTTTAATTCTTTCCTTTTCTACGCTATCGTTGGTCATTAAATGGGAACGATCAAAATCGTTCTTCTTATCATATTTAGAAACGCGGCGTAGTAATACGCGCGTTGATAATGCGTATGATTCAATGTACGTAATCGTTGAGAACGCGTGAAGCGCGGCGTTTGATGTTCGGTATAAGCAGAAGTAGAGTCGAATGAGTGTGTTTATACGTACGCGGTACGCCGGTACATATAATCGCTCGAACGAGTAGATGGTATTACGGAATAGATTTATTTATAAAAATGTAATGTAAAATTTTTGATTGTCTGCATCAGTTTACTAAACGGGCATCGCTTGATATTGGTCCCGGTATCTCTTTCTAGTCTCTCTCTATATAATTTACTGGGGAGAATTGCTCATCGTTATATTTCTTTTTCGTTCGTCGAACCACACTCTCTCCGTTCACACGGCAAAGCTTTAATGGAATTTCCGATTTTAGTTGTCGACATTATGCTAACGTTATTATTTATATTACATGTAACCGCTTGAATTTGAGAGCAACAACAACTTGGACATTTCCCAGCTCGATCCCTTTATCATGCATTCACGTAACCGAGTGCGACATTAAACCATATCATACAAAATGCATTCCCAGCGATTTGATTGTTCACACGCGTGCATCGCCGCGCAATAAAGCGTATCCTTGTCATGCCTCCAATACTGTTTAACAATATCGGTTGTCGCCTATCGTAACGTATGTCAACTTATTCGGAAAACGTTCAGACGAGTTCTATCCGACGCAAGTAACAAGAATGATTTGATACATGTACAACTTGTTTATATGGCACAGAAAAATAAAAGATTCGACGCTACTTACATACTTAAAAGAGAAAGAGAAACGAGCCTTTACCGCTCACTCAAGTACAAACTAATATTGGCAGTCAACGGCTTTCAGCCTTAACGACCGCGATCATTTTTAAATTATACTCTTTAATCCCTTTTCAAGGGTACTGATTACAAGTCCGTCACCTATCGCACGTTTTACAAAACGAAACGGTCATCAATTACGAAACTACACACAGTTCTCCTACACACGTTCGAAGACTTCGTCACTGGGAAGGCACTCGACACAATTTGAATACAATATCCACATCGAGGGAACAACGAGCTACGTTAATCGATCTCATCTTCCGCCAAGTCGTCTTCGTCCTGTCCGTAGTCGTCGTACTGGTCCTTCGAGTCCTCCTCCTCTTTGTCCGACGGACAGCGCTTGCATCTGGACTCGTTGATCCCGTAGTTGATGCAAGTGTCGCCTATGCACTCGCAGCAGCCGTCGTGGAACCATCTGTAACTGGTAGCACCCATGCTCTGACAGGACGCGCGGCACTTGTTCCACGAATTACACTGATCCATGAACGCGACGGTGCAGTTGAACGTCAAGACATTCGGTTTCAACGGGTGGATCTCTTCGTCCGCGGTCTCTGTGAAATAGATTACCTCGTCGACACGAAGATACCTTTTGAAGAATGGACCTGGGAGGAATACATACGCATATGATACTTCATTTCCTTCTCGTGCTTCGGCGTGAAGTGGGACATGTCAAAGTCGACCGGATACGTGAACGTGACCCATCGATCCAGCGGATCTGGTTCCGCGGTTAACGCTTGAAACAGATCCGGCATCGGTTCGCTGAAATCCTCCACGTGCGACTTTTTGCTCAGAGGATTGTCCGTGATGTTCGGCTTCGGGCAAAGATCTGCAAAATTATCGATCCTCAGCGCTTGTCGCGACGCTTGACCGCAAATAATTATGATCGAACGAGGACTTACCCACGCAGGAGCAGCATTCGTCATAGAGGTAGCTGAGGCACGAGAAACATTCCTTACAGCAGGTACAGGTGACGAGGTCGCATTTGCAGCTTTGCGTGAGCATGCACTTGCTCACGACGCTGGCACAGATCGCCTCGTTGCAGGCATCGGAATACTTGCTGATGGCCGTCAGAAGTACGATCCCGATGATACCCGCGGCCAGCGTCCTGCTCCAATTTGTCATCGTGTCCTGAACGGGATCAGAGTCAGATTAATGTCCAGCCTGTTCGAAGCGATAGCGAGGAATACACGATCGCGTATTCAGACTCCTAATAAGATAATTACGCATCGTCGATAAATGCGGCAGGGGCATCAAAGTTTGCATGTATCGGGAGGAAGGTTACAGGGAGCAATTAAAACGATGATAAATCACTTCCTTCTAAGGGGAATACCACGCGTGTTTTGATTATCGAGATCACGATGGACCGCGCTGGCTGATCACGACCGTGAGCGTCGATTAAGGTTGTTAAGAATATTTACGAACGTGAGTCAGGGCCACCAAAACTCTACGAATTTTTAATCTTACGTGACGATCGGTGCTGCTTGATGCCGCATCTCTAAATTTAGCCTTTCGTTTAGAATTTAGAACACACAGACTGCGCCTCTTAGACGCGAAATTAAATTTAAGGACACGTTCATTCAACGATCTCCATCGTATAATTCGTGCGCGACGGATTTCAATAAAATCACGCGACTCAACACGACTGACCATGTATGTTTACAACTGCTTATCTCCGAATATGTAAAATACTCCAAGTACGTACGAGGCGAGATTAAAACAGTTGATACGTGGAATAGGCGATTCGATACTCAGAATCTCGGCGGGGCGAGGAGACGGCCGCAAAGACGCAATGCCCGATAAAACGATCGCACGCGTAATAATTACAGCTTTCGAGCACCGCCAATTAATCGGCTATTTATATTCCGCATAATCATCGTCCTACGACGTTTCCAGTGAATTATTATTGGAAAGGAGTTCCGTTCCAACGACCCGTTACGTGGCGATTCAGGATAAATTGCGTTCGAATCACTGTGCGGCGAGCGTTCCTTTCGACACTTCACTTCCACTAGTTGTTTATGCCTGATTTTTGTTTACGTCCAAGGAAATGTACTGGAGGAATGCGTAATCGGTAATCGCGCGGCAGATTTCGCAACGAGATCCAGAACGTATCCAACCGCAATTAACGTGATCCGGCGAGTTTCAACCGACTAACAGGATCGACGATTTCGTTTCATGTGGGCTCGCTCCCCTCTGAAAGGTAGCAGTTGTAAATGAACACTGAGCGGATCGGTTTTACGATGACTTCCTTCAGGTAGCCGTCGCCCGTTCCCTTTCAAGATCGCCTCTGACAAGCGCCACTTCATTAAACCTGTGCTGTTCGCTCGCCCAAAAATGAATGAGCCAATGGACAGGGTCGACCTTTCCAGAAATCCCGCACGCGTACCGCGCGACGAGACGCAATTATCTTCAAGTTTTGCGCAAATATCCATGCGGTATGCTAATTGGCAATAATTAACGTCTCGCTTTTGCGACACTTGGAAAAGTTGTAAGTGTCGGCGAGACGCTACCCCCGGGGGATCGAGTGAAATCTCGAGGAGAGGACGTCGGTTGTGCAAACAAACGTATAAATCGCGGAGAGGGAGAATTGTTATTCGGTGAAGCGGCTAATTGAAATGCTGCGGATGTCCTATGCAACGGAGGAGTCGCGATGGCAGGCGCTAGCGCGCGTCGCGACTAGAGACCGTACGGTTTTAGAAAAATATACCGGTTGTATTGAATTGAAATGTAAACGTTCGTCATTCAGGGACAGTCGTGCTCACAGCCTCACCTTGTTCTGGCCCGAGGCGATGGAATAACTTCAATAACAAGCGGCGATCGTGCAAGGCGCCACTACCCGTCAAAACGATCTTTGCTTTTCCAATCCGCGATCGTAAGAACTCGTGGATGGTAACGAGCCGGTCGAACGGAACTGATTCCAGCGTTATCCATCGGCCTCGTAAAACGTAATTTAAAGTGATTCCTAGAAAACGTTTCACGCATTCCGGAGACCAAAGATCGGCTTGTTCGTCTCCGCGATATCGACCTGTCGTTTCGTCCTCGTTCTAAGAAGCTATAGAAAAGGGGGACCGGATCGATCGTGAAATGGCCGACTATAAAATGCTCGCACGTTCCTACGAAGATAAACTGTTTCGCGAAAATTCAACGTCGCTTTTAACGACGCCGGATCCTCTGGGAAAAATGTTACGTTAGAAGCGCAGTCACGATTGGCGCGAAAGTTACCGGAGACTCGAACGGCCAGCGGCGAGGAAAAATTGTTATTTACCTTAAGGTCCGACGTGTTGCAGCCAGCGAACGAGCGTTAACTTATGTACGGGTAACTATTTTAAGCACGCGCGACCGGTTCGCGTTGCGACGAAACATGTCGACTGACGTCTTCACATCCGTGGAAACTGCGTTTTCCTTCGATGACTCTTAACGTAGGATCCCTCCGCGAATTCGGTGAATAACATCCGTTCCACCGTCGGCCGCGCTCTAACCGACACTTTCGCCGCGATAGTTCGTATTGGCGCGGTCCCGACGAGCGACCGGTTTGTGAAATTCCGATCTCGCTTGGCGCACAGCTGGCTCCGCGACTTCCAAGTCCCTATCCTGAAGATCTTCGGTGCACGGATCCGCGACGAATCGAAGAGCGACTCTCATTGGACTGAATTAAGGAAGGACGTGGACCGCGATCAACGGAGGAAAGGGTAAGAGACGTAGAAGAAGAAGGAGAAGGAACGTGGAGGAGGTAAAGGAGGTGTTGGCGATGGTAGCAAGACGGTGATGGTGGCGGCGTTGTTACCGTAAGCCGTTCGGTGGTGGTGGTGGTGGTTGCTGATAGCGATGCTCGTGGAGAAGGAGAAGAAGAGAGCGAGTCCGGTCCCGCAGTCTGCTCGGCTCCGACCTACACCAGGACTGGTTTTCAATTTTTTCCTCGCTTTTTGTTTTACCTGTTCTCCGTCTACCTTTCACTCCCTCCTCCTCTTCGTCCTCCGTCATCCCCTGCCGCGAAAGTCATCCTCGAGTCAAGAGGTCGAGATCGCGGTGGTCGCTCTTCGTCATTGTCGATGGTATCGGGCATCTCAGGTATCTCGCCGAGAGGTGCACGGAGAACACGAGCAACGTAATACCTAATACTTAACGGAAGCGGAAGCGTCGATCGTCCCTTGTTCGAGATCCGTCACAGATATACTAATTGCTCATTTACAACTCGGCTCGCGTTAGTGATTTGCCCTCGGTGGTGTTTGGATCGAAGATCAACACGGAAGATTCACGTTTATTTAACTTCGATCTCTGCTCTTCTTCGCTCCCACCTCGACTACCGTGGCCGAGCCAATGTCCTCGCGACGTTTTATTTATTTACAAAGAATTCGCAGGTCCATGAGGATAGAAAACAAACGGTCCGAGATTTAAATCGCGTTTCGAGTGATTTATCCATCGGCCGATTCGAGGAAGGACTAGTATCGGTATGCGCCGTCGTTTTTGAGAACGCTCGTTGCCACGAGAGATACGAGTCCGTCGTGCAACCTCTCATTTCCCTCCTACTGCAATCAACGGCATTTAAGCCTGCGTTTAAGCATTTAGCTGCTTCCGTCATATCTTGACGTATAGCGTGAATTTTTTTTTCACCGTGGGACGATGACTCCTTGCAATCTGGTTACAAAAATTCATTGACGCACGGGCCTCCCGACGGCCGGGTCGCAACGTGAACCGATAATAGAAAGTGAAAATGCTTTGAATTCGATCGAAGGGGAAAATGGAAAACCCACATGGCGTGGCGAGATTCTGCGAGAGACATCAACGCCCACGTAGGGCAGGAACACGGCAGGAAAAGTGCGCTTCGCGCGACGCATCAGCACGAAATAATTGAACGACGAAGCCTATAAACGAAGTAGCGTGGAAGAGAAAAAGGGGGCCCGCTCGTTCACGGCGTGCACGCGTGACTGCGATTCACGTAGCTCCCTCGGGAGAGCGGGGAAGAGACAAAATCTAAAAGACAAAAGGGGCCGGACGGTAGGGAGGAACGTAGGGAGGAGGGATGCTCCAGGTATACGAAGGTCGTTAGCTCGAAGAAAAATTAGCCGTTTGTCGGAGTCTCATCCGAAGATGGGTCAATCAGATAGGAGAAACACTTGTCGGGCCGAGTATTGTCCCGGGGGTAACAGGTCTAAGAGGGACACAGGTATACGTTCGTCCTAATGACCGTTCGAAGAATCCGAAGGTTCACGAGTGTTCGCCGGGGTGGCCGTGAGCCTCTCGCTGTCATTTTCCTCTTGAAGCGGGACCACGATTACGTGGTCACGGTATTTCCGGTTCGCAACTTTATCTTTTTACTCCGCTCGAGAAACAGAGTAAATCTCGCGTTGTCCTATAAATCATTATCTATCTCGCTACGCGATAAGTCAGCCGTTCACCAGATTCTTACAGATTTACACGAACTAATCAGTTTCTCACAAACAATTAGACTTCGTATTACTAAAAAAAGGGAAAATTACAAGTCTTCTTAAGAATATATTAATATAAGTTTAGTACTCATTATCTTTATAGTTCCCTTTTTTACTATGTTACTCATTTTGTATTTTTTTTATTTAATTATCTTTATCTGTGAAACTAATGTAGCGGAGATAAGCCTCATTGAGGTTTCGAACGCTTTTATAAAGAAAAAAAAAAGACTACATTATAACGAGTGAAAGAGGGAATTGTTGAAAACATTTCGGCTGTCATTACTGCGGGGGGTATAATAAAGCAATCATACTCAATACTTCTGTTTTGTCCTCTGCAATTACATTTTACAGCCCGAAGATTTCAATCATTATAAGGGCGTGGTTATAACCCGAGTTATATATTATATCTGTACAATCTCATACGCTCGATCCTTTCACCGCTCATTTAGAGAGCTCCGCATCTCAAGGTAAAGTTGTAGAAACATTGACTCGTTCCCTGACGACATTCTCATATATTTGAAATTCTCCTATGAAAAAAAATCTTTCTGAGCGTGATACAAAACGACCGCATAACTGCGTATTGATTACATATTCAGAAATAACGGAGTCTCTGCGAGATGTGATTAAGATACATTTTAAAAAACGTTTCCAGGTGATACGAAAAAGTGCTGCGGAGTGCATTGCGAGAAAAAGGGTTCGTTGCCGCCATCTGTTGGTATGAATTGCCGGCTTGCGATGAGATATATCGCGGAGATCACAGATGTAACGCAACGACGTCGAGTACCAAGTCGAGCGAGAGAAATACCGTGAATATTCAGTGCTACCGGCACTGATTTCGCCTGGTTCTGCGTTATCTGGTTTTCCCCGGTCACGCGTCAGTCGTATCGTATTTTTTCAATTTCTACTGCGACTCGACGTCATTCAGTACTTGTGCAAGCTTCAATGATCGCGTTGCGTTGCTCTGTGTCATAAGTTCATAAGTGAACTCCCAGTGCATCTTGCGTTTAGTGATTCTGCGAGTGAGATATTTACACGTCAGCGGTCCACTTTTGGTAACGAAGGTAAGCTTGTTCAGGTTGTTTTTCTCTCGTTCGTCGCGTTTAAATAGGCTCAGACGTCCGCATTTCTCACCGTTTGACACGCGTAAGATCTATACGCTTTCGCTTTTATCTGACTGATCATTATCATCGATCACGTACATACGTCGATTATATACGATTGCGTTTATTATACTCACTCGTGCGAATACGTAGATCGTCGACCTCATTGAACCGTATTTTTGGACACGACGGAGGATCTCGGGTTGCGTCCAGTGAAATTGTTGACATCTGGACTTTCACCAGAATAACGGTAAACCAACGATATTTTAGAAGAATTCTCTGTATACGTATTTTTTATACATCGACCTCGTTTGCGCGGTTCGTCCTCGGATTCTTCAATTCTTATCTTTCTACATCAAACATTTTACGATCTCCCATGGCACGGATTTTTCACGTGGCATTTCGCGATCTCACTCTAATATTTTCGTGAATCATTTCAATTTCGAATTTATTTATAATCGGGGGTAGTCATGCGATGGAATTGGAATCTGGGGTCGACGCAGATATTCCATTGCGTGATGACTTTCTCTTTTGAACAGCTGTCTGTGACAAGAGTAGCCCAGGATTTCTTTCGACACAGAGACCCAATAAATGCAATGACCACACGTGTACCTTATTTGTTTTAATTATTATTCATGTATGCAAATGTTTGTTATAGAAATATGCGATACTTCCTGCTGCTTCTTCTGATAAGCGTGATTGTCCACGTGTCAGTCGCACCGCCGGTTAATCAGAAAACCAAAGACAATGAAAATGACGTGGAAGAAGAGGAAGAAATGGTATGTCTTTAAGGGACTGGCCTTTAATTCCAGATTTATAAAAAGAATTTGTTCACGCAGGCAGACATGGAATATCGTAGATACCTGATGGAAGTGGTTCAAGCATTGGAGACTGATCTCGACTTTAAAGCGAAACTGGAAAAGGCGGATGAATCAGAAATACGAGTAAATCAAACGACACATACATCAGCTTTAAAGATTGTGACAAGAGAATGTACAAATAAATTGTCTTCTATATCAGACAGGGAAGATAGCCGATCAATTAGAATTCGTGAACCATAACGTCAGATCGAAATTGGATGAGATCAAGAGGGAAGAATTAGAGAGATTAAGACATTTCGCCACAAAAGAGAACGAGTTGAAGAATGGTTTCGACTTGAGAATGCCCGAGCACTTGGATCACACTAATACGCGAACGTTCGAGATTCAGGATTTGAAGAAATTAATTGCCAAGGTAATGAGTGAAATAAGATTATCGTTGATATATAAGTAATGGTGATGATTTTATTCAGACTACCAAGGATCTGGCGAGAGCTGACAAAAAGAGAAGGGAACAATTTAAACAGCATGAAATGGAGAGAAAGTACGAAGAACAAGAGAAATTAAAACGTAATACTACTACAAGTCGAGTACGACAACTATTTATAATTGCAACACTTTCTAACTAATTGTTTTATCGTAGATATGAACGACGTAGACAAACAAAAGTATGAACAAGAATTGCAGGCAATGAAAGAGAAGCATAAACAGCACGAGCCTGTAAGTATTCGGTGTAATTCGTTCGCGTACGTTTGTTTTTTAATACGCATCCTTCCCAGGTGCATCATCCGGGAAGTAAGCAACAATTGGAGGAAGTATGGGAGAAGAGAGATCATATGGAAACCGAGGATTTTAATCCGAGAACATTCTTTTATCTCCATGGTATTGTATTTATTATTTATTTCTTTTAAAGCCGTAAGCTTTACATGTACAACGAAACGTTTGGTTGTTCAGATTTGGACGGTAATGGGGTTTGGGATCAAGACGAAGTGAAAACCTTGTTCTTGCAAGAATTGGATAAACTTTATGCTCAGGGAGCGCCCCAAGAAGAGCTACTGAAACGAGTCGAGGAGATGGAAAGGATGAGGGAACACGTGTTCAATGAAGCTGATCTCAATAAAGATGGTCTCATTAGGTGTGTGTACTTTAACATAGAATCTGAACGATGATTACTATTGCATATTCGTTGTTCCAGCTACGAAGAATTTGTGGAGCAAACGAAGAAGCCAGATTTCCAACGGGACGAGGGATGGCAGCCGCTGGACGAGCAACAAATATATACGCAAGAGGAGTACGAAGCGTTTGAACGACACAAGCAAGAAGAAATACAAAAACTAATCGCCAAAGGAATTGTAAGTACAGTAGTAGTAGTGGAAGTTGTACTTGAGCCCAGTATTTTTTTGCATCGATTATGCGTATTGTTAGTACATCTTTCTCCATGCTTCAATGAACACGTTTAGATAGTGGCATGTATGAACTAATTAATTTTCGGGTGTGAAATTACGTGAAACGTTGTTCTCATTTTTAATAAGTCATTTGTGAAAGGCGTAACGATAGTTTAAACGTTCAGCATTTTGTGTCCATTTGTGTATAGTGTCCCATTCATTTAATTAAGATTTAAAGATCGTGTGCCGTGTTAGTAGCAACCGCATCGTAGGTACATACTTATATTCCCTTGGTCAATCTTTCGTAATTCACATTGTTTGTAGTGTTTTTGTAATTATGCACTTTTTGTTACTGTCATTAGCAACCACCACACCCAGGTAGTTTACCTGCACAAGCCGACCTGGTAAGTAATCCTTTAAGACGTATCTCGTCTGAAGCATGTAACGAAACTCCTATCCGTCTCGATGATCATACGTATTAAAAAGAGATTTCCGCGAGCTTGCATGTTTGTATCATTGGAAGTTCAGACTTGATCAGCTTATCGAGTTTGGAACCACAATTCCATTTACAATTTTCAGTTCCCGCCGCAAGTCGCGCCGGTTGGAGGACAAGTGAATCCGAACGTTCAACATCAACAACAATATCAGAATCCACAGTATCATCAACAGCCGCCAGTCGTTCAACAACAGATTTACGAGAGACCCATTCAAATAGATCCACAGCAGCAGCAGCAGCAGCAGCAGCAACAACAACAACAACAACAACAACAGTATCAGCAGCAGCAACAACAACAATATCAGCAGCAACAACAGTATCAGCAGCAACAAGTGCCTGTTCAGCAGATGCACGTCGTGCCTCAACAACAGTACCCAGGTCATGTTCAGCAGCAAGGCCAAGCGCAACAGGTTCATCCTCCAGCTACGAATTTCCAGCAACAAAACGTAGCGAACGAGATACAGCAAAACGCTGGAGCGAACGCGCAGCAAAAAAGTAATCCGAGTCAATTGAACGTGCAAGCCGCGCAGCTCCCAGCGCAGCAAGATAACAGAAACAGCATACCAACGAACGAGAAGGTATAATTTCCGTTCTCAAGGTAATACGTGACACGAATATTCGTCTTCGATTTGCAAAGAAAAAAAAGGAGTATCCGATTTCGTCTCTCGCATCTTTCTTCCTTACCGTTTATCTCATCGATGGCATCTCCACACAATCGTATGCTAATGTCGCGTCCGTCATGAGGAAGACTGGCCAATTTATTTATCATGGAATGTAAATAAAACTGTTTCCAAGAAAAGCAAACACGTTTAAGGAATTATTCATTCGCCCTCTTATCAATCCGTTGCCCTTCCGATGCGGAATTCGCGTTTTTATCGGGAATAACAGCCGACGCATCGCGTGCCTCGAAAGATAAAACCCGCTGCTCGCGCTGGGTCGTCGGGAGGGGAGTTGAGCGATTCAATGAAAAGAGATCGTGTTTAATTTCTCATATTTATTATTGCATACTGTTTATGTTAGTATATTACTTAGGTATACGTGCCAAATAGCAACTTAAATGTATGATTGCGTGATTCATCTGTTTGTTTCACCCGTGAAGCACGGATGGGTAGGTAGGTAGGTAGGTAGTAGGTAGGTAGGTAGTAGGTAATGTAACGCTTACTCCACTATATATAAGGTGTATTTATAATTATAGCATATGTCTGTAGTCGGTAGAACGTCATCTTACATGCTAATCGGTAATAAATAAAAGAGGAATTCGTAATGGGTGACAGGTTTTGCTTGCATCCGTGACTAAAGTAAAACTGTGTACGTATCGTCGAAAGCCCTCGTGGGAATCCCGAGAGGTGTTCCGGAAGTAGAACCGAGAGAAACAAACGTCGCTTTGCGTATTCGTCACGGGTACATTACACGTTATATTAGAGCGTTTCCCATAAAAAGATACGCGCCCAACTAATCGTAGATACACGGTGTGTATCGATTCAATTAATTCGAACTATCTACTTAAGAAGAAATACTTTGTTTTAAAAGTAAAATTAAAAACAATACGTAAAACTACGTTGCCATCTGCAAAATAAACGTGTCAGCGTTCGTCGCGTCGTCGTTGACGAACGGCCAGCGTTTACTAATCGAGATTACGGAAACTGAGATAACGAAGACAGTTCAGACACGGGGGATACCACGATCGGAGCCATCGCATGGAAATACGTTGATTATTAGTAGCGCCGAGGTAAAGGTTCACAGGTATTCTAAATTTCGAGGTAAAAACCGGTTCGCTGCGATGAACCCCGATCGCGATAACGCCACGCGGTCGTCAATCTTTTTTCGGTGACCATCGCGAGGCACCGGTCAGAGGTCGACGCGTTCCACAAGTTTATTCGCGAACGGACTTTCAAAAATATTTATCGTACCAAAGTGAACGCGTCCAGAAACGTATTGCCTCGTCAGTGCATCGACCGATGCCACGCTACCTCGCTTACGGTAAAATTTAAAACGTAACAGAGGCCGATGATCGCTTACAAACTAAAAATATAAAATATCTTTACGCTCGGACAAATAAATATATTACAGATTACGATATAACAAAGATGAACCGTGTCGTATAATAATGTTGTATCCTTTCTATTTACAGTGAACGCGCGGTTGTGCTTGCTCTTCGCGTAGCATACTGTGTGTTCTCCCTTTATTGTTAGTGTGCCTGTTCCAAGAACGCATCTCTTCCCTGCCCTGTTTCAATCTCTTATCTCTCTTCTCATTACTTTCTTCTCCTTCACCCTTGTCTCACCCCGTTCCGTCTACCGTTTCCTCTATATTTCGTTTCTCTGGCCGTGTACGTGTATCATGTATACATGTACCTGTTGTATCGTGTCGTGTACGAGTATCGGTGAAGTATGGTCGAGTGCGCGTGTTTTGTGGGATTACTTGCCCACGGGTGGTTGTATGCGATTAAATAATCGGATTCTGAAAAATGTGCCGTTCTATTGTTCGACTAATAGTTTCTGTAAATTAGGATGCCACCTAGTTTATTCCTCAAAGATCGGTCGTTGCCGGCGGTGGAACGTCGGGTAGCCGGGAGATCGAAACGAAGCCGTCGCTCGAAGTCGATCTCCCTTCCGCGGTACCCTTTCATTTACCGTTACATCCTGTAAACTAGCCGCTAAATCGCGAATCAGGGATTACTACGCTTTGTTATCCTTACAGCTTGCTCGGACTCACTTTCTCTCTTTCTCTCTCTCTCTCTCTCGCTCTCTCTTTCTCTCTCTCGCTGGGTATTATCTTTCTCGTCTCGTGGATAGGTGAATGCGGCGTGTATGTCGGGTCGGTCATTGTTACAATACGACGTTACATCTCGAAGCTCTAAGGTGAAAATAAAAGGAAGGTTCGGCGCGGTGCGTAATGCGTTTCGTATCCTGTTCTCGTGGTGTATCTTCGCGCGTTAGAAATTTGTTCGACGGTTCCTACGCGGTATGCATCTTGCTCGCTGAACTATGTTCGCACGCGATCTTAACTCTGATCTCCTCGTTCTCCCGCGACCTTTCGCCCCTCTCGATCCGTCTTCGAATCGCGCGGCTCCTCCCGCACTCGGATTCTGCTTCTCGGTAGTAAGTCGAGAGGGATGGACGCGCGAGACGGATCGAGGAGACGAAAAACCCGGGAGACCGATCGATAAGCGAGCGAAACGCACAAGCCATCAGGACAAATGGGTAAAGAGGAGGTTCTCTCGAAAGTAGTAGTGTACTAGCGTCACGCCCGTCCGTCCTTATGTTGCCTCGATAAAAATTCTAAGAGCTACTTTGTCTTCGACTCTAAGGTCCTTACTTTTGTCTAACTTAATTCTCTCCCCGTGAACTTTTGTTTCGTCCTCGACGACGTTTGAACGGAAAACTGCATCATCCTCCTTTCAACGTAAAACGTATATCCCAGCAGCAACCTTATAGCGTCAATATATATCCATTTTTATGTATATATATATATATATTTTTGTCTTCATTATATATTTATACTTTACTTTGTGTCTTATATCAGTAATAGCGTATAAGATGTTTCTTTTCATTTTCTTTTGTCCACTTACACCTTATGTATGTAATATAAGTATCTTTGTGTTTTCCTCGTTATCTGTTCACAGATATATCAAAATGCGTAAACGAAAGATTCTCGAAATATCCGATTCCCTCTGGTTCAATTCAATTACGCGTACTTCCCCCTTCTATTTTATCTTAGCTTCTCTCTTTCTTTCTTTCTTTCTTTCTTTTGTTTTTGGTACTGTCCATATCTCCGCTCTCTCGTACAAGCGAATCGAAAAGAAACGTTTACGAGAATATGCCATTCAGGGTATTACCGGTGGTGAGTTGATCCAAAACAGAATTTTTGTCGGGTTTGCTTGTAGATTCTGTACATTCGCTCTACACGCACACAAAAGCTTCGTAGAAACATTGCGTAATGAGTAAAGAGAAATATCATCGTCCCGTATCGTTAACGAAATCAATTTCATTTGAAAGGAAAGGGAAATTGAACTTTTCTTGTTTCACTAAATATTTTCGAGCTCGCTCGATTCTATCCTCGACTAGAAACCGCGATGTTTTTAATTCCTCGTAGAAATCGCGCAGCGTCGCTGAGACTTCGAACACACGTTTATAAGGATAGAAAGAAATATTTAACATTTACGCAACGTCCCTACAAATAATTTTTTTAGTCATGTGTACTCGTATTTCCCTTTTTCTGCATTTCTTGTTTCATTACCACTTTTTTTGTTTTGCATAAACGATTCATTCGGTGACGCGAAATTTCGAATGATCTTTTTTTTTTTTCATCACGTACAAGTGGTCACGGTCTATGGGACACGTTAAATTTTTTTTTCTTTGGAAGGCACTTACTACTTTTTTTTTATACAATATTAATTTTAATCATTTCCACATTCTCGCTTGTTCACATCCCCAACCTTTTCTCTCGCACACTCTCTCTCCCTTTGACCCCGCCACCCCTAACTCTTTCTCGCAATTTCGTTCGCAGTTCTTTGAATATATCTCATCTTCTTTTTTTCCCAACCCCATCCCCTCGCTTTGACTCACGAATTTCTTCTGCTCCACCCTGCAGCGCTGGTTTCGTTCAAATTTACCTTCTCGTTGAACACATTAAGCCTAAATCGTAATAAAATCTTTTAAAATCGCGATCCCATGCGTCTTCCCTTATATTTTCCCACCGTTTCCGCGCCCTCTCCCAATTAATTCCGAAAAATAAAACGCCGGAACATGTTCGCTTCGTCCAAAAATCTTTCGTATCAAGAATAACGCGTTTCAAGAGTTCTTCTTTTTTCCGAATCAACATACAAATCACCGATTAATTAACGCTTGCTAATCGATTCTCACCCGAGACGTTCGTGCAAACCCGTTAAAGCTTTCGCGGGGGAGTGGTGCGAGAACAACGTTTTCTTATTTTTCCAAAAAATTGCCTAGACAACGCGAGACGGACAGCCTATACGTCTCACCTTATTTTTTTTCCAAGAGCAAAAGCGAAAAGCGATGGTCTTTTCCTTTTACAGAAGGCCACTTCGAATTTTTTTGTCTTTAATTTTTAATACTTACAAAGAGTCACTCGAACCAGTGTGCCAACTTTTAAAAAATTTGCTTCTCCTTGTTTTTTTTTTTTAGGAAGTTCCGTTCTCCCTGTTGCAAGTTCTCATCTTCACTTTCTCTTTCGAAACATTCGCTCCCTTCCATTCTCTCCCATTCACACCGTCTCTCGTTTCCTCTCTCTGTTCTTGCGGAATATAACTGGATCGAATGCGAACAACTTGCTCGTAGAAACGTCGCACGAAATCTCTGAACGGTTCGCGGCAAGAACGATCGGTAACGAGAAGTAGACGCGTATTATCCGAAACGAAATTTTCGAGTAGAATTCTCTCTGCGGCGTGCGATAGGAACGCCCGTCAATCAGAGTACGTCGAGAGTGTAGGCGTTTTCGATTCGACGACTACTCGGCACGCATCGTTCTTCGATTGTCGAGGATCGAGGGTCCCTTCGTGAAAAGTCGTAATGCGTACAATTTGTAAAATTTTGAAAAATAGCACGATCTTTCCGAAAAAAGGCATTCGCACGCAAGTTATTCCGTGTGTCTGTGTAATTCCTCATTCTCTCCCCCTCTAGCTCTCTCTCCCTTTCTCACCACTCTTTCATAAGCGCAACGACAACAACAACAACGACGATCATTCGCACTCGCACGCGTACTTAATAGACATTTTCACCTGTTCCAAATTCAATGAATTTCGCGGTAGTGTCGCCATTTAATTTCTTTTTTTCATCGTTCCCTAATACTCTAAACCTTATAATTTTTATACTTGGCATACCCCAAATATGGCAGGAAGGCAATCATTACACTTAATAAAGTTACAGCAATCGGTTTTGTTCTCCGTTTCGAACAACAACTTTTGTTCCTTACTTCCGTTCCGTGGAGATTTTTCTTTAAATCGCAAGCGATATTTTGTACATGATCGTTCTCGTTGGATCCCTCACGATTTTCCTCGGAAGCGCGATCTTTCTTTTCCGTATCGGCCTGTTCTCCGAACAATTATTATCAGACAGATTGGACAGCGTCAAGAGTGAAAAGAAAATCGGTCGATCTACCTTTCGTACTTTGTCCAACCGCGTGGCCGTCGCTTCCTTGATCGCGAGTTCCGACGAGCCGCGTCGCGCTTTTGAAATTCAACGCGAATTCCTATACAACATTTGGCATATATTAACGTGTACGATTATCGTATATGCGTGGATATATGTATGTATAAATTCTCGAGCGTGTGCGTGCACGCGTGCGACGCGCGGCTCTACATTTCCTTCGGTCGCGTGTCCACGCGCGCGCGTTTCGCGTGCAGCCGGACAGATCGTCCGGCCGAACGAATACCTCACGATCCATTTTACTGCGTTGCAACAAGTACTATGCGAGTTCCAATCGCGCGGCTACTTATGGAACATGGAACGTTTCCCCTTAAAATATCTAACCGGTCTCCCCTTTCGGAGTTCGATCGAGCGACCGCGATTGGTGCCCGTAGTTGGAAGGCGAGCTACTTCCGATCGCTCGCGCGACTCCATCCCGTTCATTTTTGATTGTAAGTCTCGAGGGCGATCGATCGCTCCTCGATTTATCTACTGCAGCGTCGGCACGAGGACGAATAATCGGACCGTCCGAAATCCGGAGATCGTCACGGTGGTCGGAAACGTACCCGCCGTCGCGACGAATAATCCCGACCACCGCGCTCGACTAATCCACACAGCTACGTCCTGTTAGGATCGCGACGGAAGCGAACGATCCAAGCGATCAGCTCGTTAGATCTCGAGCCAGTCCCGCTTACTATTCGCAGCGCGAGTCCGTAAGCGGTTCCAGCTTCACGGGGATCTTGTCCTTGTCCTTGAGACTGTGCGGGCTCTTAACGAGGTCCGCGATATCCTCCTGGAAGAGATTCTCCGGTCGCGGGCTGACGAAGCTTCGCGCCGGCTTGTAAGTCATTCCGCTGACGCCGATGCCGACCTCCACGCTGCTAGGTATGTGTCCGGGGTCCATCAGCGGGCCCAGAGGACTCGACAGCGGGCTCTCCATCGGGCTTTCCGGCGGTCCGCCGGATCCTGGACTGGCCAGACCCAGATTCAACGGCGAGTTACCGTTGTTTCCTCCAGGACCGCCGCCGCCGGCGCCGTTGTTACTACCGATACCCGGCACGCCGCTGTTGTTGCTGTTGTGGTGATGCTGGCTGGCCTGCATCGCTGCCTGGAGGTTCGACGAGAGGCTTGTCGACAGGTTCGTCGAGAGATTCGTCGCCATCATGTCGTGCTGCTGTGAATGCGCCGCAGCTACCATGCTGCACATCTGATGTCGCAGTCCTGTGACAATACACAATTACTTCGCATCAGCCTATCCTCGTTCCAAATAAAATTAATTCCGCGAACTATTCTATTTTATCGTCTCATCGACGTTTCATTTTTTTAATTTCGATAAAAGATATTATACGAGAACGAACGGCATGAAAGGAAGACGAGGGAGAGTGAATAAAAAAACTGTACTCGGAGGCTTACCTTGAGCGACCGCGGCAACCGCGGCCGCGGCTGCCGCTCCGGGGCTAACCGCACCTTCGGGACCGTTACAGGCGGCGTAATTGGCCAAACTCGGGTACATCGGTGTCGGCTCTTCCTTGACGATGTGCGGAGAGTGGCCGTCGCGGAACACCACGGCCCGAATCACCCCGCGAATGTGTTCGTCCGGCCAGACGCCTAACAGAATCCTCTGCGGTCTGCCTCTACCTTTCGGACGAAGATCTGAGCAGCCAACAAGTCAGTGAATAGTATTTGGGAACGGAACTCAGTGACAGGGTTACTCGGGACCAGATTGCCGTTTATCGAGTGAAAAGACGCGACGGAATTTTAACATTGCATTTCTTTACCGATTCGTGTCTCTCTAATTTCTTCATTAATTATTTATGACCTTGGGTATTGTTCGTACTTTAATGGACGAGCTTTAGTCTTCATCGGCTCGGTTAGAAAAAGCGTCGCGAGGGTAAGTAAAGAAAATCGAAAAACGCGATTTGTCGCTGTTTCAGAATTAAGGTAAGTGTAAGTTTAGTCGAGAAACGGCAAAGTCGCGAGGGTAGAGTTAAAATGGCAACTAACACTCACCGGCCCCGCCATCGGCGCTCGGTCCCAGCATATTGTGTACTCGATTCGCGTACAGCACAAACGTCGGGTACGGGATGTCGTATTTTCTGTAACAGAAACAAAAATAAAGACCTTTAGAATACCCGTATACACTTTTATTTCCTCACATTACATCTCGTTCGATGGCATGTTTTCTACAATGTTCGAAAATCGCGTATCTGTCGAGATTAACGAATGTATCATTAATACAGGAGAGTTCGTTGATCCGTCGCGTTAAGATTGGCAGTGGAACGCGACTGGAGGAACCGATCGATTCTCGTAAAGATTATCGGTTTAGCTCCGAGAAACGCAGAGCTCGATCGCACAAAGGGAACGAACCTTTAACAACGACGCGTTATTACGCGTCGCGCGATACGCGTTTTACGATCGGGCTGTAAAACTTCTTAAGTTGACCGCCTCGACGAACCCAATGGCCGATTGTTTTCTCCGTGTTTTGACCCATTTACATCCACCGCGGCGGCTACCGTTCTCCCCGCAACTAAATCGCTCGAAACTTTTCCAAGCAAACTGTTTATACCAGCAGGACGAAACAAACGTGGATTTAATTTCCGTTGAAAAATAACTCGCTCGAAAATCGTACAATTGCGAGGTTGATACTCTGAATCCGTTAAACAATAATCCCGACGTATTATCGAGCCGTTTGAAAATTTGATCGAAAAATCACCGGGTTACCACGTTAAAGGAGTACCTGTCCGATGAACTATCTTAGTTTAATTTACCCCGTCGCGTCGCGAATATCACTTCTGATAATGAAATTTTTCTCGCCCGGTTCATCCTTAAACAGGAATGAACGTCTGACGGCAGCAGATGTAATCAGGATCCGTCCGATTAAATAGCGACGCGACGCGATTCTTTATTTGGTTACGGTGGTTCGCTGATCGCGATACCGTTTAAAAGTTAAGGGCGCAGGAGATTCGCGCGCCTGCGATACCCGGGACGAACAATAAAATAAGGATTTCGATCACAGTCGAATTTCGTACTCTGCTTCATTATATGTATTCATTGAGAATCACTCTCGATTCTATTTCCAGAATCCGACCTCGAGTCAGTTCCATTCCTTGTCTAGCATTGATTCATTTTTTGCAATATGTACAAGTGTTTGTCGAGACCATTCTGTTAATCCTTTTAGTGCCGAGCAAAAGTATCGTATTTATGTGAAGATTATCTGGCCAATTTGACGAATTTGTTAAGGTTTGGGAAAATAAATTAATGAAAGTTAACTTGTAGCTAAAAACCAAACTAAGAATGATATTTTCAAAGTTCAAACAGCAGCATATTACTAAATAAAGAAAGAATAAGGTAATGCCAATTGTATTTCAATATTTGTTGAAAATCATACGAATAACATTAATATAAAACATGATGAAGAACATAGAAATGAGATTCTCTTCTACAAACAAGCTACTACAGATAAGCGACGATATATCGTCGTTTGGCACTACAAGGGTTAATCCTAATTTAGTGTCCAAAGATATAGCAGATTGCGGAATTTTATGCAAAATGAAACGTTATCGAAAATCCGCTGCCTGAAATCGCGTATGACAATTAAAAAAGTGAAAACTGATAATTACCTCGCGGCTTGGCTCAAGGAGAGTCCTTCCTTGAGGACGCTGAAGATCGCCTCCGCCATGGTCTCCGGTCGCCAGGACTTGAGCGGTCCGCGTTCCCGGAAGCGTAAATTGTGCACCAGGCTCTGGTTCGTGTTCCAACATTTTTGCCACATCGACTGCAGCTGATACTGGTAGCTGTCTGCTAGTTTACGCCAGCCGCGCAAAATAGAAAACAGAAAAAACACGCTGTTAGTAAAATATTTCTAATTCAAGGCGAGTTTGAATAATCAGCTGCGATCGACCTTTCGACTTTGCACCATCAGTCATAAGTATACCGACGCGAACAAGACGAATGCTTATTATATAGATTGTAAAAAAAATTCATACAATGATCGACATGATGTTTAATACAAGCTCGATTTAGTAATTCACGTACTGCTTGATCGTATAATTCGTATAGGGAAAATGTTTAACAAATACGTCGGATCGTATTAATACTTATGACGGTCAACGTGGACATGTACGAGGCTCGCGATCGATGGATCGATCGAAAGGTCGGCTCGCAGCGTGCGTCGTCGTCGTCGTCGTCGTCGTCGTCGCGAGAAGGTAAACGGACGCGGTTTGATTCGCAACAAAATTCAATCGAACAGAATCGAATTCGATCGTATTCGACGAAACCGATGCAATTATAAACGTGACGCGTGCATATAAATAGGATAAATAACCAGACGTGGGTTTCGTCGAGCGACGAGCGTGCGTCACATGGTTCCTTTGTAAGTAGCGGTAGCTGGTGTAACCTGCGAACAAACTGTTTTGAGGCGGGGGAGAACGGGGTGAGAAAGAAATAAGCGGGGAAATAAACAGTCCGGCGTACCGTGGTACGATTAAACGTATCGATTGTATTATCGTTGGCCGCACAATCGTTACAAGAATGAGAGAAGGACAGAGTTCTTAAAAGGAATAAGCTCGGTCGTTAATAAGAAAATATTTAGCTTAACGTTAAACGATAATCGCGCGGCGGCTCGCGAGAACCGCGGCTACGAACGTACCACCGGCTATACGCCGGCCACGGACGGCTGGCTGCCTGGCCTCAATTCGCAACGATTATTTAATAGTTTACTTATTGGGTTTAATTGAGCATCCTCCAATTTGACGATTAATACAATTAATTGGAAAGAAGAGCGCGCGCGTGCGCGTGCACCGACGAGCGCACGCGTGCACCACGCGATGGAACACCCGCGAACACGTCCCGCGTCCTCCTCCTCTTCCTCCTCCTCTCATCGCCGATAAAACGAGCTTCCTTCGTTTACATCTAACTTCATTTACATTCGAAAATTTAAAAAAAAAACTGTTGACGAATACTAGCGAACGTTTCCACTGATTGATTCGTTTTCGATCGAGAACGCGCCATTGATAAAAAGTCTATTATATTCGTTAAAGCCAGAGATTTCAATGCGCGTACGAAACGGGAATGAAAAATATTGTCCGCGAGACACTCGGAGGAGAAAGAGAGAGGGACAGACGTCATTGGGTATTCTCCAAAGCTTAGGAATGTCAGTCTACCGTTATCTTCGGCGAAAGATCAATTAACGCCGGCAGCAGCGGTGCCGTGAAACTATCGCGAAGTGTGAACCGCGAGTACAAACGAAAAGGGGAACGAAACGATACACAATCGCGGAGAGGTAGCGCTATAAAAATATCTTTCTAACACCGAGGAGTTTCAGGAGACTAATCGTGTCCTCGACGCGATTAAAATCTATCTAAACCTATTAAACGTCGTCACGCGCGACGATTAAATTAATCAAAGGGAATGTGAAACGTCTTTTGTTCAAAGTTTATCGTGAGCTCCGAAAATGAATTTCACGCGCGGGGAGTAACACCGTCGCCGATTCGTATAAAAAATTGGAACGTTATCGAATTACAATATTTCTCGCGATTTTTGCTGTGCGCAAAATACATTCGATGTCATTCAACCGTTTATTAAGCAACGCCCATTGCGTTCGTATACTTTGCTTTAACGACGCATGGGTCGGAATTGATTCCTTTCGTTATGGTACAAAAAATCATTCTCAAAACGACGAACGTTTTAACGATTAGAATTCTAATAAATGTACATTTAACTAACTTTTCAAATGATGACTCGACCATGGAAAGGACTGGGGATAGATCTTGGAGCTTGAGATTCGTTACCCGTGACCGGCGTCGTTTAATTTCGTTAAATAAATATGCACGATTATGCATAATAGGACGTTTTTAGTGTCGGTTTGAAAAATATTAAATGCGTATTAGTTACACAAGGCTCGAAACGTCGATCACAGATTAAAATCAGAAATTGTCGTTTCGATGTAAGATCGAATACTTGGCACTTTGGTCGATCAATTCACAGTGCGAGCGTCAGTCGAGTCAGCAATTATAAACAAGGATCGAATTCACTAAGCTAACTGGAAGACGTCGGGCAGAAGGCACTGCCTTTTACCGTCGTAATAATCGTTACCCGCAATATATATTATTATTGCCATAATCGTTATCGTTATTGCTACTACTTATCATGGTCCCTTCAGGAAAGAGTAAGTTTCGAGCGCGAAGCTTCGGAAGAATTCGCGTGGAATGTGAAAAATATCGATTCGAGAGGAATCGGTGAACACGATTAAAAGTTTAAATGATCTCCTTCGAGGAGGAAAAAGGCACGTGTCGTGAAAGACGTTTGTGGGCAACTCGCGAATTTACACTATGATGGTTCCGGTTCAAGTATTTTATATTGTTAAAAGTTCTCTGAATTTACAGAATACACGATCCGATCTTGTCAGTTCCGTTCAATTTTCCTATCTGACGTCGGTCGAACCGGATGGTGTAAATTCGTCTGTTATTGGTCGTTCTCGTTCTCGTCGTTGAAATAAAGCGATACTATCGAGTGCTTTTTACAAAACGCCCACCACCAACGAAACCCGGATAGACCGTTGAAGACGAAATTCGGATCGCGCTTTCGCCTGAGTTTCTCGACGAAGTTTAAAATCGCGTTTAGAGACTTTTTGGTGCGGCGATTGTAAGGGCTGACGCTGATGTCGCAACAGAACTCGAGGACGGCCGTCTCCTCGGTCGAGTTCAGGCCAGCCTCCTCGAGGACCATCATCCTCTTCGTCTTTCCGAGGATGTTGTCGTACAGAGTGCCTTTCGGTATTCCGTATTTGGTCGACGCCTGGGTGAATCGCATCTTCTGAGTGACCACAGCCTCGATCGCTTCCTGTAGATCGTGCCTGGTCCACGTGGGCGCCTTCAGCTTCAGCAGGCTCGAATAGTCAGCTAGAAAATAGTCACGGATTTCGACTTTTTGGTTTGTCTCTTTCACCCTCTCTCTCCTGGCCGCACCTAATCCGGACCGAACACGATCATCGCCCCTGTTAAGAGCTTCTCGGTACGCTTTAAACCGCGAAAAATAAATTTACCGAAAGGGTAAGAAGGGATAACGCGACGTGTATCGCTTATCGCGTGTGTAATTATTAATTTCGAAGAGCGGGCTCCACTGTTCCCTGAAATATACTGCGGAGACAGACGAGCAGATTAGGCATACGAGTCGAATGCGTCGTTAACGGCTTACCTGCTATACTCGACGTGGAGGCTCCGAGCCAAGCGTGGGATGATTCCAACAACTTGGCCTGTAACAAAAACCAAAACGATCTGGTTAAAAATCATATCGGCACGTTCGTAGAATCATAGATTAGAAATACGAGTAACAGTTCAATGGGGAGAATTAAATTTTGACGTCAGGCCTCATCGGAGACAGACGAATCTCTCTTATCGATACAAGGAGAACGGATATCGAAGCGTTAAGCGGTGATGGAGTCGGCCAGAGGAAAGACAGATCCTGGAGAACGGGGGCTCGCGTCTCTGCCGACAACTTTACTAATATGCCAGTTTTTCCCAGGTATCTCTCCAAAGGGTTGCGAGACGGAAGCGCAAGACACACGCAAAGTTGGCTCATTTGAAAAGTTCAGGTCCGCGATTTTCGCAATACCGCGAGAGATCGTCCCTACGCCGCTTTAGACTTCTCATATATACCGGAATCGTTCTTCCAGGACTGCACTCACGGTCCGACTGACTTTCCAAATTAATTTTTAAGGGCCGAAGGGCCTCGTTCGGTTCTATCAAACCCTTTCTCTAACTCGTTCTCCTAAAACTGCTCTCATCCCTGCTTAGCGGTCTCGGATCGAGAATCACGCGAGAAACTTTCAGCGATGCGCCGCGATCTTTTTTTTTCCGAGCAACCGCGGGGCAACGAATCGGCCAGCCTCGCGAACCCACGACACAGATGGGAACGGAAATAACAAAAGGGGTTAATAATAATGTAACGAGACGACAAAGGCAAAAGATAGGAACGATAAAGCTGATTCTATTGCCAGTCCAAATTCGACGTCCGGAGCGATATTGTCGGAGCCGAGCATTCGAGACAATAATAATAACGCTTATAATAGCGGTAGGTGCGGCTGTGCGCGAGAACCTTGAACGACGAGATAAGGCCTGTGATTCGTTCGACGTTCCTTCGAGATGACGGTGTCTAATTTATTCAAATCGCTGAGGGGCATCGCGACGACTCCGGACGGACAAAAATGTACACGCCGGTCTACACCCCGTTTATGAGTCTTAGAACGCTCTTAATTGTAACTACGATCTTGAAAATTTATAATAAATCACGCAGATCTAATCGGACAATGAATCAAGGACAATTTCCATAAATTGAAACTTCAAGCGTACGTAATTATTTCCTGCATTCTTGAAACTTGTCAATCTCCTCAAGTGGAACTCGTCAGCAAGAAATTTCACGTGAGCTTCGTATCTGTTAGAACTAATTGAACTAATAGAATCTTCTGGCGTGTGTCATATGAGATGACAATTCGTACCGATCCATTTTCAACATTTTCATATCTCATTCGCCAAACGACTTAGCAGCGCGTCCTCAAGTCTTATCAAGGAGGATGCATGTCTCTATAATAGGAAGAATAATTTTTGAAGGAGCGTCGATAAAAGAACGAGGAGACAGTCTGAAGGAAACCGCAGAGCGTGCATCGGTGAACCGGGTTTGTCACGGGCACGAGTTGATCGCGCGCGGCGCATCCTGTCGCGCGTGCATTTTTCATTGTCTCGTGCGGCCGCGGTACTCGGGGTAAGCTTCGAGGAATATGCACGCTCGTGCACGCGACTCGACGCACCGACCGCCGCTGCATTAACGAGAAAATTGCTCGTCGCATTCTTCCGACATTTTTTCCTCTCCTGTCCCGCCGTTCGAACCGCAACGTCCTCGAACGATTTACAAGGGAAATACCTACGTCTCATACGAATATAGAGAATGCATATTCGAATGATGGTTGTCCGTCACGTTTGTCAAATATTTGATATCAGTAGCTGGCAGTGATTGTCTCATTTGGGAGATCCTTTTAAATGATCGAATAAATTGTCTCAATAAAATTTGATGAAATTCGTTTTAGCATAACGTCTGACACTGTGCGCAATGAAATATTTTTAGTGCTTAAGAAAGACAGAGAAGTACGGTGGGTTTAAAATCCGGTGATAAACAAAAGTCGGAATGGAGGAGACGTACGAGCGACGAGGAGCCAGGGCCTAATTAAGAAAGGCTTCGAATTCCCGGACATTCTCACGTAAAATCCTGTGAACCTTCAGCGAGAGGAGAATTTACGAGGTAGTCGTCTATCGTTGCTAATTCCTGCAAATATTTGCCGGGCAAGGATATAGGCGTGGGCGAAATGAATAGGCGCGACGGGGGGATGAGAGAAAGAGAGAGAGAGAGAGACGTATGCGTGTAACGGGGGACGCGCAAAGGGACGAGGGCGAAGGCTAGAGACGCCCCACCGACGCCGTTGACGTCGTCGTCGTCGTCGTCGTCGTCGTCGTCGAGGCTCCCGTCGACCGGGCTGGAGTTTCACGCGGCAGAATGCACCGCGCCACGGCAAATTTCTAATCAGATTAGCGCGGATTAGCAAAGTTCGTTTGTTCTAATGAAATTCGTCTAAATTAACGTCGGAAGAGGGAAACGCTGCCGCGCCGCGCCGTACCGTTCGAGGAATACCGGAGAAAACGATGGCGAGGGAACGAAAACTACGGATGAACGTCGAAGAACTCCGCCCAAACGTTTGCCTAGAAATCATTGATCATAGTTTCGCTCCGACGTTCTCATCGACCATCAACCAGGCTGACTTAACTGTCATAGGCAAACGTAGAAAAATCTATGCAAATCTCATGGCAAATAATGGTAATATTCTACCAACGTCGAGTATCGTTGCCACGTATTTGTATGAAGAATTTTGAATTTGGAGATCTTGGAAGCAATTCGGGAAATGCAAATCCAGTGACGATCATATATTATTAATAATAACAATAATAATAATAGTCGCTTGACATATATTTGGTACATACAGCGTCACATGTACGAATTATAAAGAACAGAATCTGTCTTGGAGAGTTCGCGAGACAAACAAGGACGAGCGGGACGCGGGAGGCTGACGAGATAAGGAGGAACGGAAAGGGGTGAGCCGGCGCGTTAATTCACTGGGAAACCGGGTCGTGCAAAAACACGCGCACGCAGTCACCCGGCGTGCGTAATTCACGCGGATACACCACCCTGCTCTCGCCCCTTTCGCACGCACCCGTTCATATTTTATTCACCGGTATCGCGCTCGAACTATTCCATCGATAGTCACCACGGCGCGCGCTTAAGTTTCCCTCTCTGTGCCCCGGTCTTCCGCAAACAACGCGTATTTTATTCATCCCCGCGTCGGACGCGGCGAAAACATGAAAGAGCCACGTGTCATTTAACCCTCTCGTCCCTCGCAGAAGTTTCGTCGGTCAAAAAAATCTGGCAAATATTCAAAATTCGTAATCATTAAAAACGATTTCGAAGATTCATCTTCGTGCCGATTAAAAAATAATGATACATCATAGAGTCGTATTAAATTCTATTAACCTACGTGACTTCACGCAGGAATTAGCAATTTGTAAAAAATCAGTCTATCGGGGTTTTTTAATCGGATCGAGGTTGTCTCCCTGATTCGAACAGTTTACAATTTACAGAGGTAATCGAGGACCAGAGAACAGAGAGTCCTGTTGCATTGACTGGTCATTATCACTTAACGAACCGTTCCGGTTCGATCGTCGACTCGGTTTTTAGCAAGCTTTATTTGTGTACGACTCTGTACCCGACGAGAGCAAACGGTTCTCCCATCCCTGTCCGCCCTCTCCACCCTTCCCCGCGGCCGTTTCGCTCGTTTTCACGAGTCTCTTGCGCTCTTCGCCGCCGGTCGGTCACTGCTTTTTCGTCGTTCCGTTTTATTTCGAGCGGGACTCTACAGGTAGTCACGTACGGTCGATGGGAAGCGGCCGTCCGGATAAATCCTCCTCTCGAACAGAGTCGGATCGACGCGACGCGACGAGATGTGTTGGCTTCAGCGAGAGAGCCAGCCCGTTACCCGCCACCGTATCGCCACGGATTTCACGCGAAACTTTCTCCGACGCGTGTTTGGCCACGTGTCCGCCACTCGGATACTTGTTCCACTTCAAAGCGCACCGAATAGGATTTTCGCAAGCCCGTAAACATCTCCGCACTGGCCCGCGATTCCATTTCTCCGAATTACCTTTTTTCCTAATTAATTATTCATGACGCGTACGAATCTAATTATTGGGTATGTGTACATTCATATAAGAATGACATATCTCAGTTTCGATCTTTGATAAGGATTCATTAATTCGACAAGCTTCGTTACATACGAGACGTCATATGAAACGTGAATTAATGAAATCAAATAATAGATCTTTAATTCATACGGCTGTACTCTTATCATTGTCAGCACTTTGATAAGAATTTATTCATCGGACATGTTCTATCAGTTAATGAAGTCCAGCAATAATTAGTTATTTCGCACGGCTACTGGTTCGTTACCAGGATAGATATTTTCTAGAGAAAGAACTTGGCAAACAATAAATAATGCATGGGAAAGAATAATTGCAGAAGGCGAGGAGGCATTTGTATTTGCATTCAGCGGAGTGCGTAAGCGTTTCTTTTCTTCCGTAGGAGAGAGGCGAAGTTAATGCCCGGCTGAATACAGCTGGGTATAAATACGTATTCCCTGTATATTATTTCAGAGAAGTTGAGTGGCCTCGCGCCCTCGAAATTCCCAATCAATTCACAGTTTCATAGACGAAAGCTTGTCGCAAATTCGATTCTGCGAGACGCGTAGTTAGAAAAGCACGTAAGACCCGTCGTAGTACTAGCTTTGACAAAATGGTTTTAACCAACGCTTTTGGAGTGGAAACTAAATACGGGAGAACAGTTCGATGCGTTTCGTCCCACGTGCAATACTTCGAATATACTCGTTCATTTTATCACAAATGGAGCAAGTGTATTCCGATTTCTTTCGTCAGACATATTTGCGAGTCTGCTTCCGGACGGACGGAGGAGGCATTAGAATATCAGCTAATTCGCCCGTTCTATAATCGATAGGCCACTTTAATAATATAAGGAACGGATTATCCGTTGAATAATACGGCGAGCGACTTCGGTGGTCGTGCGCGTACACGGGCACGCAGTCACGCGTGTCCCGATGCGAAGCGAGGCCCCGGTCGCTCTCCTCTCCTCGGATCGGGGGTG